GCAGATGGAATACTGTTGTTCAGGGCATCCACATGCCACTAGGCTCAAAATGCCTACTGCCTAGCTCTCAAGTGCCAAGATGCCATCACATTGGTAAAGTCATAAAGTTTGAACAAAATCTCCACCTGTTCAGGGGAGGTGCTCCAGGCCTCAGGGGGAAGGCCCCCAGGTAGGACACACTGTTGCTTCTGGCCTCACTCTCCCCTAGTCACTGTCACTTCCCTGCCTACTCCCCAGGTGCTGTCCACACGCCTCAGCCCGAGACTCCAGGCTGTGCTGCAACTTCACCCTTCGACTCCAGCTGCCACACACAGCCCAGCAATTCCAAAGGACACACTGCTCCTTGAACACACCATTTCTAGCCTCTGTCTGCAACGCTCTCCCCACCTACTTCCATCCGGAAACTGTGCACTCCGAATGTGAAACTGTTTGGAAACCAACCACTGTGTGCAGCCTCTGGGCCCTTGTAGAAGCTCCTCTCTCACCACCAAGAAGGCAGATCCACCTTCCCCCTCCTCTCAGCACTCCTTTACCTGGGGTACTTCTGTAGCCAAAGGCAGCCCAGGAGATACAAGCGTTTGTACACCTCCTCTGACGCCCCCAAAGTGAGACCAGCAACCCACTCATCTGTGCAGCCCTGGTGCCTGCACACGGCTGGTACTCAATACATGCTAAGTGGATGAAGACTCATACGCACGTCCGGCAGCAGAAGAGGTAAAGGGCTTGAGGTGTGCCTCAGGGCCAGGTTTAGAACTGGGTGAGAACAGAATTGAAAGCTGCCCATGGAAAAAAGGACAGATGACAAGCCCTGACTTTCTAAGCATTCTGGGAGAATGCTTGGGGAGCCACAAGAAACTGACCATTTGGGTCAATACAGCACTCCGCAAGGCAGCTAGGTGGGGGTACCAACAAGACTATAAAATCTTACATTAGCCTCAGCGAGCAGAAACATCTGCTAAAGCCACATCGGGCAGGCTGGCCAAGTTCAGCAGCGGGTTAGCCAGGACAGCTCTGTGACCAAAGGAAAGGGCCACAGAGGGAAGAATCAATCACCCAGGCAAAGAGAAACAGGAAGGATGAGCAGTGACACTGGGCCAGAGGCCCACAGCCACAGGGGTCTCCCATGGTCTGGGGACCACAGGGGCATCTCTGCCCTTTTCAGCTCCGGCCTGGGCTGGCTCCTCACCCAAAACCCTCACGCCCTCAGTGACCAATAGCCCAGAGCTGCAGCCTCAAGGCCTGGTGAATCTTTCTCCTCTTTTTTGAGAACATCAAGGGTTCAACACCATGCTACCTCAGCTAGCTTCCTACTTACATGCTGAAACGACTTAAAGGAGCTAGATAATTCATTTGCCAGCCAACATCTCTGTTTAAAGAGTTTTCTTTTTCATATCAACACTTCCATGAATTCAGAATTTGATCAACTCTTTGCCACACAGTTTGACATTAACAAAACATCAACACCCTGACAAGCTGCTGGTGTCAGAAAGGAACATCTTAAAACTCCCTGGACTCTACACGGAGACAGGCTTCCAATCCCAATCTTTGATCTCTATTATAAAGCAGTACCAATAAAATATCGTAGAGATTTATGAGCGAACTTTCATTCGAGCTGTTTCACACCTAAAACAACATGAGTGGTTGGGCCACTAGGCAGAAAATTTAGGTTTAGGTTTCAACTGTTTAGGTTTCCTTTTACTTTTAAAACCTAATTCACTTATTTTTTAAAATTCCCTGAAAACTTAAAATTACATTGTATTTCTCTCTGAGAGAAGACAGTGGGGAGACAGTAACTGGGTAAATGTCGTGTCCTTCCCAAAGGGACAGCCCAAGTCTGGGTAGACAGTTGTTCCCTGTCCTAACAGAGTCATCTTTTGTCAAAGATAATGTTTTTCCATGGGATTTAAGTTGAACTTTCTGCCTGAGTACACCGAATTGTTAAGAGGAGTTACCAAATACTTATTACTGTGACTAAAATCTCAACAAAAAGAATTTTATTTAAAAGTCAGCGTGATGGGATTTGGACCCAAGTCTAGTTTCACTGTGTTTTGTCCTGCTCTCCAGGCTAATCCCAAGCCCAGCTCAGACTGTAATTCTGACCATCAGTCACTTATAGGTCAGCATCTAAATGAAAGGAGCTCAGCGCTACAGTCCCTATAGATGGGAAATCAACCGGAACCCCCAACCCCCCCCCGCCCAAGTGATGAAGCTGGGGAGAATGATTCTGCCAAAAGGAGAAACCAGGGAATCTGGAGGGGGAGAAGCAGCTCATCCAGCTTTTAAGAAGACCTTTATAGGCAAAGTGAAGTGAAAGCAGTAGAGAAGTTCCTGGGCACAGTCCTTTACGAACAAAAACGAGCAGGAAGGAAGGTTGGAGCAGCGGTTCAAAGGCATCAGAATGCGCGGCTGCTGCTGTCCAAGGTTGCGGCGCCTGCCAAGCGGGAGGCAGGGAGGGCAGCACAGGCACTGGGCCCTGTCCCCATGCTGCCGGCAGGGCTCGAGGGGCCCAAAGAGACACTGGGAATGGTGACAATTGCAAGAACCAAGTAAGGAGCAGAAAAGCAACATGCCCGGTTATTTAGCCCAAGTTTACTTTTGCACTTTCTCATTTTGAAATGCTGTTGTTCTTGGTTATAAGTGGAGAATGCAGCGGCTGGACAAGAGAAAACCACCTGCTCCAGAGAACTTCTAATTGCGTCCATGATTCTTCAATATTCAAACCTGACTCTTCAGGTTCAGAGTTAAACTTTCTACATAAGGAGAATGGTTCACATTTATTCACTTGATGTGGTCTTTAAGAGATTGCTTCAAAGATGAATGTTTAAGAGTTTGCTTCTATTTCTCTTTCTGTCATAACATTATAGTTTTATATGTAAAAGGAATTTCCGAGTCTCATCTTCCTTCCCAAAGAGGCCTGGGCCAGGTGAAGGCTGGGTTTGGCCAACAGCATTTCCAGGCAGGAAGGACCAGCCTGAGGTCCTGTGCAACGGGCCGGGGCCTACGTGCAGAATCAGAGCTGTTCTCAGGAGGCCTGAGCTAGGAAGGAGGCATTTGGACTCTGATGTGGTTTCTTGGTCTCAGAGCCAGAGTGAAGTGGAGGTAACCCCCAAAAAGTGTCAAGAAATTTGAGTATAACACATATATACAGACAAATGCACAAGTCAGAAATAAAACGCTAATGTGGTTGTGCAAATGGAACACTCATGTAGTTAGCACCACACTGAGTCTCACCAGACGTCCCTACCACCCGAGGCCTTCTCTCCTCCAAGGGCGACCACTACTCTGGCTTCCAGCGGCACAGATTGGCTTGGCCTGATTTTGGTCTTATTCAAATGGAACCATACAGTGCGCACTCTTGTGCCTGGTTTCCTTCGCCCTTATGACTGTGGGGCTGTCTACCGTTCATCCTTGTTGTTGTGCAGCCTCTGCCTGGGTGAATGGGTCATGATTTATTTGTCCATTGTACAGGTGATGGGTACTGATTAGTTTCCAGGATTTTTTTTTTTTTTTGGCTATTCTGAATAGTGTTCCAATGAACATGCTTTTCATAATAAACATAGTATACATTTCTATTGGGTACATATCTAGAAGTACAATTGCTGAGCCACAAGATATGCACATATTCAGCTCTAAAAGATTTATCAGTTTTCGAAAGTGGTTTTAGCAGTTTGCCTTTTCCTAGCATTGAGAATCTATTATTACTCCATAGGCTGTGGATACATGGTTTTTTCTTTTTATTTCAGCTGTGCTGGTGGGTTCTGCACATCTCTGGGGGTGAGAATTGGTTCTCTCTCTTTCTCACACCTTTCCCAGTAAAGCAAATGCCAGTGAATTATGGCACTGCCAGGTGTCACGAACTAGGCACATTGATGCTCTTCTCTGGCTTTGCAGGCAAGTGTTGGCAGGCTGGATGTGTGGAGGCACCATAGAGGGTGAAATTGGCAGGCTGTGGATTCAGTGACCTTGGAAACTTCCAGAACCTAAGGAACTGGTCCTTCAGTTCTTGCTCTGGCAGATGGTGTGTGGGAACCCAGAGGATGTCACACCACATCCTTCATGTGGACGTCCTCTGTGAGACTGCTCACATGCTGAAGTCCTCACTCCTGTCCTTGGCCTGCCGAAGATCCAGGGTCCTCCAAGGTAACTCATTGCCCCGTAAGTACTGACTGGCTCCTCCATGCTGAAGAAAGTGAAGCTCCAGTCACTACATGAGCACATGTAGTAAAGAATGAAGCAAGCTGTGGACAAGGAGTGTTGTCAGTATGGAGGCCATGGTGGCCAGAGAGGAACGTGGTTTGTTTGACATAGCGGAGTCTAGCAGAGAGATTCTGCATTCAGCTGAGGGCACAGCTAGTTGTTCTCTCAAGGGGTCCTGGAAGGTTATGGCCTCAGATGTAGCTGTGCAGAAAGGTCACCTATGCCTACGGCCCACTCTGTTTCTTGAAACTGGGTCTGATGATGGTGCAGCTTCTGGCTCAAAATGTCACAGCTCTAGTTGACGGGAGACCCCTTCTGACAAGACTGTCACCCACCCTCTAGAACAGATGCTGAAAATGGCTTATTAGAAGGCCTACAGTAAACAGTAAGTCATCACTCTACTCTGCTGCTGTCTTGTGAAGTAGCCACTGGCAGGAGGTATGGCTGGGTCCTAATCAAATGGCACCAAAACTGGTGACTGGCATGGACTGAATGTGCTGAGACCTGCTCTGCGACAGTCCTTTGAAAGCAGGTGTTTCCCCCCACTTCCTTCTGATGCTTAATGCCTGTTGTGAGCTACAGGGCCCCTCTGAAAAGAGCCCGAGGTGAAAGCCTGTCTTCCCAGCATCTTTAGGAGAACACACAACAACAGATGCCAAGTACTTTCCCAGTGGCAAGCGCTGTTTTTCAATGATCTCACTAGATATGAAAGAAGACATTCAGAGAAGACTGCTGTACCTCAAAAAAAATTTTTTGAGAAAAGGGAGATAAAATAAATCTAAGAAACTAGAGATGCTTTTTACCTTCTGAACCAAGTAGACACTGGTAGCTCTTTCGGCAGCCACCTTATCCAGCTGAGATCCCTCAGGAACAAAGTAGCTCACGTCAGCGATGTGGACGCCCACTTGGAAGGTGCCTGTGAATGCAAAGAAGGACCATCAGCCTAGCTGGCATGGCCAGGGTGTTCCCGGCCCAGGAGTGCTTTCCAAGAATGTTTGTCACTTGTGAACGCCACAGGCCTTGACTGGGGCCACCATCCGGGGTCCCCCCTGCACTACTGCCTCCTGTATACCAAAAGATGACAGGCTTCAGGCTGTGAACAAACAAGATTAACCACTTTCACAGGCTGTTTTCCATTTCTAAAGGCTTGTCTTTAAATAAACGTTGGCATTGGTGGATTTGCAAAACTAGACAACTCATTCTGGATGGTAAATAAGCCCTTTCGGAGTCACAGAAGGGAGTTAAGCCCGGGCCAGCCATAAGACACTGCCTCCGGAAGCCCTGCCCCTCCCACCACCCTCAACGGCCCCAGCCTTCAGCCCACCCACTCCAGCTGCCTACCCAGCCTCCGTGCCCTCACCAGCCCTCCAGACTTCTGCTGCCACAGTTCAACATGCTCCCAGGGAGCCTGCTCCTCAGCCTGCTCCACACATCTTTGCAAGGTCTCGCCCCAGTCTACCCTGTCAGTATGTGGCCCCATCCTCCATACACTCTATGCAACAGCTGTGGGAAACCTTTCTACCCCTTGAGCACACCTTACTGCACCCAACTCAGACGTCCATCTGGCCCATGTGTCTTCCCATGCTCAGGGTAATCCCAGCAGGGGCTGCCTACCAACACCCATCTTTCCTTATAAGGGTCATCTGAGAGAGACCCCAAGCATGAAGAGGTTCTCCTGCCCTCTGCCTCCTCCACCTGCACTGCATAAGCCCCGACTGCATGTCCGCTGATGCTGACCGAGGTCTGCCCCTGAGCCGACCTCCCTATCAGACACCACAGCATCTCTCCACTGGTTCACATGCCTGAGTTCGCTTCTCCCCTCCAGGGTGAGCTCAGCACTTGGACCTTCCTGTGGCACTCATGCCCGGGCTTAGAAGAGTGCCCAGCATGCAGTGTGTGCTCACTAAATACTTGCTGAGTAGAGGAATCAAGAATTGGTTTGTTTGGCTGTTGTTTTTTCCCCTCCTACATCATTTTTCCCTTTCCCTTCCCCATGGAGCTGTCTCTGGCCATGTCCTGCCTTTTGCACCAGTTCTGCCAGAGAAGTGGCCCAATCACCTGGCTGGTGAAATTGTTCCTGACCGGTAGAGAGGTAATAGGCTAAAAACCCAAAGATTATTCTCGAACATCCTGTAAATCATCTATCAAATATACATATACGTACATACACACACATGTGGTTACAGGTACATGAAAATGCACAAAGTAGGGAGAATATAAGAGTCGACTGTAAAGTAAGCATGTAGTCTGAAGCCAGCATCACGGGCAGAGAGATGCACTGACATGCGAGCACAGGACTGACACTGCTTAAATAGAGGTACACACCCAGCGCAGCTCCACCAGACCAGCCCTGCTGAAGTGACTGGGCTGGGCATAGACAGCCACATAAGCCAAGCTGATTTATCCTGGGCCCTTCCTCAGGGACCGATACGGATTTAGGGAAGGAGGTCTCTCTCCTGGTAACATCTGTGCCACATCCTTAGCCCTATACAGAAAAGAACAGGTCTAAGGAGTAGAAGGAGCATCACGACGACCTCATTTGAACCCCCAGACTGAGCTGACGCTGAGCCGTCTGCTCATGGACAGGGCCACTCCTGAGCTAATCCGTCCACTTTCCATTCCGACTCACCAAGAGCTCTGACCATACCCAGGTGGACTCGAAGGGCTTCTTAACCATCATCAGTTACTCCTCAGCCATCTGGATGGCCAGTCCTAAGATGTCATGCATTTTATCTGTAAAGTCTGTAGTACTTTATTACAACCCATCCCCCACCCTACCCCCACTGCTGCTGCTTCTTTGGGGATACTCTTTCCTCAGTTTTTAAGCACAGGGTGCTTAAAATAAGGGGCTCAGACAAGGGAAAGAATTGGATTTCTCGTTCTTCATCTGCTCTGACACTCAGAGATCCCTCTGCAGGGCATCCTTTGGGTTTTCCTGCCTAGTAACACAACACCTCAGGGAACCTCGAAATTCTCTGGGACCCAAGGCTCTGGGGCAAGACAAGGGAGCTGTCTCAGACAGGAAGGGCAGCCTGCAGTGCTGGGGGAAACCAGCCTCCTCTGAGTTCAGTGGCCTCCCCCTGACCGCACGCAGCCAGGTCACTCGGTCACCAGAAGCAGTGAACCTGCCTGCCATGATGGAGGAACTCGGCCCCAAGTGACCCGGGCCAGAAGTCTCAGACGCTCAGCTTTGGGTTCTGCTATTTCAAGTATCTAAAACCAACACTTGGAGAAGGTAAAATAAAGTGTCTTCTTTTGAAGTCAGGATCATAATATACTGGCCTCACAGGTAAATATTGACGAAAGGAAAAAAGAGGGGATTATTCTACCATGATATCAACCATAACTTTAAATCTGGACTCTGTGTTGTTACTACACATGAACTTTCTGTCCTTCGTGAAAATTGACAAACTGACAAAGAGTTCATTACCGGAGATAAAACACGATGGGGCCAAACAAAACACATTCGAGAGGCTTAAATTTCACTCAAAATTCCCAGCAGAGCTTTTAAAACCAGCAAAGAGACACTCTCTTATTCTCTGGACATTTTTATGGAAACCCTAAGTAAATATTTTATTATATATATTTACATAATGTGAACTTGCAGAACTCTTGAGGTAGTGGCACCGAGGATTTTATTCTATGAAAGAGAATAATATACTTCCAAAAGGCAGTGTACGCTGCCAGAACATCGAGGACCAACATGATTGTTTTAAAAAATACTCCCTCTTAATTTCTATTAAAGAAATTGAAAAATATTCCTTTAAAAATATTTTAATTTGAATAAATTCATTTACTGGGGCCAAGAGGAGTCCTGTGAGTTTTTTGTCTTTTTGTGTGTGTGTGTGGTACTGGGGATTAAACCCAAGGCCTTCACACTGAGATACAGCCCCCTAGCCCTTTTTAAATGAGCTCCACTCAATTCCAATGTTAACATTAAGAATCTAAAGCCAGGGCTTAGGAACCAGCCCTTCGAAACCAGCCTCCAAGCCAGACCCATCCCTTGTGGCCACTTCCCAACCATGTCCAGGTGGCTGGACACTGTCTTGGAGCGGGCTGCTCTATTTCTGAAGGGCTCTGGTTGTCAGAAAGCGCATCTTTGCACGGGTCTGTGATCCATGGGATGCAGCCTCTGGTTCATGCCAGCATGGGCATCCGTAAGTGATGACCTCTTTTGGGACCGCTAAGTCCAATCTACCCACCTGATGACAACAGGACAAGACAGAAAAAGGTGACAGAAGCGCACAGGAGCAAAGTGAACTACAGTGAGAACACACAAGAATGTTACATAATCTACGACAACTATACCCATGGGATGTTGGCAATGATGATCATAAAAATGATAATCAGGGTGGCAGCGTGGTCATTTTAAAATGGGTTCCACATAAACCCTGACAGCAGCTACACAAACTACATTGAAGGAATGAATCCTCTTGAGGCTCGGGGGAGTTCAGAGTCCCTCATCCCAAGCAACCTGTCCGGTATGTGATAAGCCCCAGATTCAAAACCAAGTTGGAAGGGAGCTTTGCTCCCCATGTACACAGTCACTTCTAGCACAAGATGTCTAGATTTTTGGTCTCCGTGGGCCAAATCCCTCCCTTGCTCTCATGACTCAATGGAAGCTGCATTCTTAGCTTTGGATTCAGAAGTCCTTTCCCAGCCTTATTCCCAGCCACACCCTGTCCCTGAAGGCTCTTTTGGTTCCCACTGCCAACCTCTTTTGCCACTGGTAGCAGGGCCTCAGTGCAAAACAACCACTAAGCCCTTAACTCCAGTTCTCTTTAATTAAAAGAGTAAGTCCTGAAAATCCCAGCCGTTCCTTTCTAAATTCCTAGCTTACAGTCACCTGTGGAGTGACAGTCTTCACGGATCAAAGGACGGAGCCGGGAGCCAGTACTCCTGGCGGAGGTGGGGACAGCAGGCTTCCCTTACCAGGAGTGAGACCAGGACCTTCCAGACTTGGGCCACCAAGCTCATCTCCACCCACTGCTGAGACAAGACAGTGTGACGGGCTCTCTGAATCCCAAAGGGACATTCCTCACAGACGATCACGTCCCATGCTGCAACATACTGCATGCCCTGTGCCTCCCAGAGTTCACGAACTGAAAGCTAATCCCCACAGTGAGACGGCACTTGGAGGTGGGCCTGGGGGAGGTGACAGCGCTCACCAATGTGGCCAGTGCCCTTCCAGAGACAGAGAGCTCCCTGTCCCTTCTGCCACACGCAGACCCAGCAAGTCACCATCTATGAATCAGAAAGTGGGCCCTCGCCTGACTCTGGATTTGCCAATGCCTTGACCTTGGATTTCCAGCCCTCCAGAACCATGAGAAACAGTTACTGTTGTTTGCAAGCCACCTGCTCTGTGGTGCTGTTACAGCAGCCTGAACCAACTGAGACCCAGCAATGCCTGGAAGCCCTCTGAATTCAGATGGAGGGCAAGGATGGTGCTAAACACACTCATCAGGTCACTAATGACCTGCGCCACTAAATCCAAGCCCTGCTTGGCTAGTCCCGAGAGCAGCATCTCCAACCTGCTGACTTCGGAACTTGAAACCCTCCTTCCTCCTCAGGCCAGCTATCTGCCCTGTACACTGCTGCTTCTCAGCCCCGCTGCAGGTGCCAGGGCCTTGCCTCTGAGCTCTGCCTGCTGCCTTCTCCCCCTGGACCACAGTCTCCACTTGTGGGTAAGCACTGCGCCTGGGCTTTGGTCTCCTGCTCCGTACCACTCGCACCTGCTGGGAACTGCCTCAGAGGGGCCCCAAGCACCTCACTCTCACCTCCTTGTGCCCCGGCTCATCAGAACCACTTCTTTCCCTGTGTTCCCACCCAGCAAGTGGAGCTGCTGCCCAGCAATCCAACACTGGCACCCTCCCCCGGCCAAACCAAAAAGAAGCCCAGGACCCCTCGGGCCTCCTG